TTTTCACATCATCGTGTGGTTCTGGGATCAGGGGCTTTAAGGGAGAATCCCAATCAATACTGTAAAATATCCAGCACAGAAAAAGAGACCTGAGAGTCTCACAGCGCTGCAAGTACCACAATAATACTTTGCACAGCTGGACATGCACGTGAATCCCGCTAAAAAATCCTGCTAAAAAATCCTGGTAAAAAATCCTGGTAAAAAAATCCTGGCAGGCTGGGGGCTCAATTTTCCCTTTGAGCAGATCCCAGGAGGGGATGATTGGGACACTTGCTAAGCAGTAAGGATATTTATTACAACTCCTTACCCGAAACACAATATTTTGGAGGGATTTGGAGCCTCCTGTGCCTTCCTGCTCACAGACATTTCCCTGTGACCCGTGTGCTTTTCATTATCGAGGAGGTGTCACTTTGCCATCAGGAGCTTTTCTTTCCTGTTTAACCGGTTTATGGCAGCGATGATTCTCTTCCCCAGTCATCCCTCAGGGAAAATTCAAACTGTAGGGAACACCTTATCTATTCTCCCTCTCGATTTGGAAAGCCAACCGTACTTTTTTAACTTTTATTTATATATAGAGTGGCAGATTACCTCACACTTTCAGTGCGGGTTTCCAACACGCTTAAAATAACGACTTTATTAAAGGGAAAGAATTGCCTCTTAGGAAGATTTCTGCACAAGAACAGGATTAAAAAAAAATAAATTTCTCTGCTCCAAGAGGAGCTCCCAGCTGCTGCCATGGGAGGTGACAATACAAATGATGGCAGAGTGGCTTTGGCTCCTCAGTGTCAGAGCTGGGATGGCACAAGGGATTGAGCCCCCAGCCTGCCAGGATTTTTTTTACCAGGATTTTTTAGCAGGATTTTTTACCAGGATTTTTTAGCAGGATTTTTTAGCGGGATTCACGTGCATGTCCAGCTGTGCAAAGTATTATTGTGGTACTTGCAGTGCTGTGAGACTCTCGAGTCTCTTTTTCTGTGCTGGATATTTTACAGTATTGATTGGGATTCTCCCTTAAAGCCCCTGATCCCAGAACCACACGATGATGTGAAAATACAGCTGTCGTTCCAATAGACAAGGAGGGCTTCGTAGCTGTAGGAGAAAAAAAAAAAAACAAAAAACCAAACCCTCCAAAATTAAATTTGGATGGAGAAACCACAAGGCAAAAAAACCCAAAAACCCAAAAACCCCCAAAAAACAACAAAAAACCCACAAAACCAAAAACAAACAAACAAACAAACAAACAAAAAAACCAAAAAAACCCACCCAAAAAACTTGGGTGCTTTATTGAAAAAGCAGTGGAAGAACCTCCCTTATTTTGGGGTATTTCCCAGGGACCAGTGAGGGTTTGGCTGCTGTAAAGGGTGTGAAAAGCTGCAGTAAACACAGCACTGGCCACCTTCCACCACCTCCAAGAGCCTCCATAAAAGGGAGCACAGAGGGAATTCCCTGGGGGAACACTCGCCTTCACACTTCATACCATTCCATAAAAAGTTACACATTGCTCCACTCAAGTGGCTATTCCAAATTCAAGTAAAAATCCCAAGGTTGTGACAGGCAAGGAAAATATCCTCAGGATTCAGGGAGGGAGGAAGTGTCAACAAAACAGTATTTGGGTTAGAAAAAGCCATGCAATAAGATTGAACACATTAGGATAAAGCATATAAAGTTAATAATTAATATCTGATATCTTACATCTGATAAACTGAAGTTATAATTTGAAATAAAAGCACGGCAGGATAAAAGCCCCAGCTTTTAAAGCATAAAAGCTGTCAGTGATGTCAGTGCGATTTCAAAGCAGTTAGACAAGGAAAAAACTTATTTCAGTTGGTGAAAGCTGGTGCATTTTTTGCCAAATATTCTCCATATATTCTCTTAAAATATCAGCTTGCTCTGTGAGCTGTTTGGTGGCATTTGTGCTGTACTGTGCTCAGACACAGTGACCACAGGGAAGTGACCCTGAGAGAGGGGAACACGCCAGTTTTGGGAACTGAATTTCAGAGTTTTTGTGGTGTGGCTTCACCTCACGGGGAGTGGACAGAGCTGAAGGAGGAGGATTGAGAAAACAGGAAACACGGATGGGAAAAGCTCATATTCCAAACACACAAAACACAAAATGAGCTGGCACCCCTCTGCCTCTCTCCCCATGGGCATTTCTGGGAGAAGCCCCTGAAGGTTTTTCTTGGGAAACTCTGAACATTTCCAGAATTTTCCCAGGCTTTTAGGGTGGCCATAATTTTGTGCTTCCCACTAAAGGAGCAGACAGGGAACTGCTGACTCACTTTCTACCCTAATTCCTGCTGGAACTACCAAGAGTTGTCTCCTCCTCTTTTGCTGGCATGTGGGACACAATTTCCCGAGACAAAAGCAGCAGACAGTGCCCGGGATGTTTCCTTTCTTTCTGTTCGATATTCTCGCTGCTCCACCAGCCGGCAGGAGCCACAGACTGAGGAATAATCCGGATTTGATTGAGCTCTTTGGAGCCAGGTCTGACACAGAGCAGCAGCTGCCAAAATAACCTCTGCACACCCCCAGAATGGAGCGGGTTTTACTCACTCAGTGTTGCTTCACAGGAGATTTCTGAAATAGAGATCTGGTGTCTGAAGCCTTGGGGTTTCGAGTAATAACAGGGAGCTGCAAAGGGAGTGCAGCAAAGTGTTTGAGCAATCCGTGGGGATGGAAAACTGCAGAGAGCTCCAGTGAGGAAACTGCTCCATTCCATGAGATCCATCCTCTGTGCTCCTATTCTCCAGTGCCACCTGCTGTCATTCCCCCAAACTGAGCTGGGAACACAGAGCTCTGTGTCCACTGAGCTTTATTCTGGCTCCAGGGGACACCAACATTTCTGTCACCATCACTGACCACGCTGGTCCCTCTCAGAAAGCTGCTCCTTGTGGGAACAGTCACGATTGTCCAGCTCCTGCTGGAAGAGGGAGCGATGGAGCAAAGAATTCCTGCACCAAAGTGATGAGAAAGAAAGAAAAGAAGAAAAAAAAAAAAGAAGGAAAAAAAAAAGGATTTTGTGTTTAAGCAGCACATGAACAACAATACTGGTAGAGAGAAGAGAAGAGAAGAGAAGAGAAGAGAAGAGAAGAGAAGAGAAGAGAAGAGAAGA